TTCATTTAGTGAAAGAAATGAAGTTTTTGGAAACCTCTTGAGTATAATTTCAGAGTTGTCTTTTTGCTTCATAGAAAAATCTAACAAATGAGGAATATCTTTCCCATCCTTATCATCTGGCCTTAGAGCATAAAACCTGCTGTATGTGTCCAGGAAGCAGGGAGAGACAGGAGGAACGGAGGAGGGCGATGTGCCTCTGCGACAGGCCTCGGTCCCCAGGACCTCCCCGACAGCACATCCAGCCCTGAACTCACCTGTGCGCTCATCTGCTGAGGAGTCCAGTGCCTCTGAGACCCAGTCGCCTCCCAAAACCATGAACTTCTGAACATATGTGGCCTTGGGCAGGCATTTCAGACCCAAACCACGCAGTGATCTTGAACAGCAATAGTACATTTTCATGAAGTCGTGATTTGAGCTGACTCCTGCAGGACGATGGCTGGTACCCAGCACATGTGTAAGGTGCAGGGGTGCCGGCAGTGCTTTTTACTGTGGCGTCTAATACTACTATGGTATTTTCTATAGTTCCCACTATTATTACTGCTACTCTTACTGCCACTGCCCCTTCTGCAAGCACCTCTGATTTATGACTGGGACAAATAAACACCTACAAAATGAGATGTGCACAGGGGCCGGTGTTTCCTCCCACGCAGTTGCTCCATCCAGGTCTTTCTCCTTTGGCCTGGGGTAGAATGGTTTCTTAGCTGGAGATTTGTAATACCACCACCCATTTCCATTCGCCCCCATTCCCTGAGGCTTGTGACAGTGGAATTTAGTCCTCCTGTCCCTACTTGGTGACAACACATTTAGTGTTTGAATGAATGTAGACTTTCAAACCTGCAAACTGAAGTTTGACCTCCAGGTCTGCTACTTGGCTATGAACTCTTTGATGGGTCACTTAATCTCTCTGAGCTGTTTCTTTATTTGCAAAATGGGGGTGGTGTCACCCTGCACCCCCGGCCACTCTTGAATGAGCCCTCACCCGGGACTGCGGTGGCTCTGAGGTGTTACCTGTGCTGTCACTTTCTTACAGTAGCTTACTGCTCCTCAGCTTTTCTCTTCCCTTCCTCTCACTAGCCGTGTTCCTCAGATGCATTAAGACCGCCATTATCCGCTCATACATTCCTTCACGCCCCTCTCCCTTAGTCTTAGGAGAACTGGTTTTTCTTTTGTCCAAAGCCAACCCCAGCACCTATATTTTTATTTGACAATTTCGGTTTCCTTGTAAGATCTTTCACCATCTATATTTTTCAGTCTCCTACAGCCCTGCTCTATTCTCTGTCCTGCCCTTCCCTGCCCCTCTACCTCCCCTTCTCTCTCTTTCTCTCTGCCTCTCCTTTCCTCTCCCCCTCGCCCTCTCCCCTCCTCCTCCCTCTCTCTCCCTGAAAACGTAACTTCCGGAAAGGATGGGTTACAGCCTCCCACTCTGCTTCCTCCCATCCCCCTCTCGCTTGCCTCGCTCCGACAGGATAACCCTGCTTTCTCCCCACTCTCCTTCCTGGAACTTCGCCAGAGAAGCTCATCTGTGACCCCACCAGTTGGGTTTGCCGCTCCCTGTCAGATGGATTTCTCTACATTTGACACCAGTGACAGTTCCTTTCTTGAAACTTCTCCCTCCGTGGTTGTGGTGATGTCACTGTCTCGTGGGTTTTTGGGTGCTCTAAACATTTATTTTCAGTCTTCCCACCCAAATCCCACTGGAAAGAAGGAAAAGGTTACAAACACACAGTGACAGGTGAGGGCAGGACAATGCAGATGAGTAGAGATTTCCATCAATGTCCAGAGAAAGAAAGTGCTTGCAGCCTCCTGCCCACCCACCAGACGGAATGTCAGCTTCCGTGTTTGCTTACCCAGGGGAATGCCAGCTTACCCTCTCTCCCCCTTAGGAAAGCTGAAGTTGTAAAAGCAGAGTGGAACATCCAGCAGAGCTAGTAGGTCGCACCTAACAAATGCACCTATCTGGAAAAAAAAAAAAAAAAAAAAAACACGACCACAGATAATAATACTTAGAGGTTTTCCTGTGAAGAGCAACTTGTGTGATCATCCTGTGGGTAAACCTGTTCATTCCTCTGCTGATTAGCTTTATATTATCTTTTGAATATTGAATGGGGGACTAAAGATCAGCAGACACTGAGAAAAGCCTTTAGCATAGAGACCAAGGCAGATGACTAGGAGGAGAGGTACCTGTTCATAAGGAGACATCATGTACAGAGACTGACACTACCTTAACACTAAGTGTAGTAATAAGCTGGGTGTGATGGTTCACGCCATAACCTAGCACTCAGGAGGCTGAGGCAGGAGGATCCCTGTGAATTGGAGGCCAGCCTGAACTCCATAGGGAGACCCTGCCTCAAAAAAAAAACAAAAACCCGTAAGTGTAGTAAAATGTTAATGGTAGAATGTAGCTAGTGGATATATCATTCTAACATTCCTTCAATTTTACTGAGTATTTACATTTTCTCTTCATAAATTTTGGGAAACATTAGTAAAAGAGATGAAAGATAAAAGGGAAGGTAAAAAGGATTAAAAAATCAAAGACTTTAAAAATGTGAAGAGACACTCTATGTTCATGGATTTGGAAAATTCAGCACAGTAAAGATCTCACACTTCTTCCCAAATTGGTATTCAGGCTTTAAAGCAAGCAGTTCCTGGCAAAATCCCAGTAAGGTGGTTTTTTTTGTTTTGTTTTGTTTTGTTTTTTATAGATGTAGGCAAGATTATTTCAAAGTTTATATGAAAAAGCAAAAGAAGTAGAATAGCTAAAACCATTTTTAAGAGAGAGAGACATGGTAGAAATCATGCTACGAGACTTCAAGACTGCACACACACACACACACACACACACACACACACTCACATTCTCCCAGACCACGTGGCAGCGGCAGTGTTAGACACACAAAACCAGTAGGCAAGAGCAGTGAACCCGGAGACAGACCCACACAAGCATGGCCAGTGCATTCTTACAGAGGTGCAAAAGCAGGTCAGTGGAAGACGCACGGCCTGTTCTACAAAACTCACACCGACTCTTCTGCGAAGAACCCTTTTAAGAGGAGGAAAAGCAGCCACAGGCTGGGAACCCTTGTAAACCACACACCTAACGAAGGCCTTGTGTCTAGAGTCTGAGAGCTGCAGTAAACAGGGGCGCGGGACTGAGAATGTGCGGTTACAGGACGTGAGGTCCAGCGAAGGACAGAGATGACACGAATGCCCAGGGAAGACCAAGTGCCAGGGCGGATCTGGACGGGGTGTGCGGGGCAGGAGGCCTCTGGGGGCCAGGGAGAGGGTGAATGTGTGTGTGGGATGCACTTCAGAGGTTTCCTTAATGTTTCAGGCTGTGACACCCCTAACAATGAAGCGGGCCGGTGGGTACTGAAGGCAGCCGGGGAGGAAAACAGAACAAATCCCAACCTTCAGAGAAACAAGAAAAACGCAGCAGCAAGAAGTATTCACATAGTGATCATAATACCTTACTCCTAAATAATTGGTCAACGCGGGATTATATTGGAAATAGAGGCTGGGAGCTATGAGAGAGCTAAATTTATGACAAGAAGCCAATCCCTAATATCTGAAATCAGTTCATCACAAAATAACAGTATAGCCATATGTTTTTCAAAATACAGCATTATATTTAGCATTTACATTAAGAGCGGACAGTGGTTTTTTTCGGACAGAGTTTTGGAGTCAGAATAGATGGAACAAGTGACTGTTCTCTTTAGTCCTTTCAGTTTTTTGTTTCTCTTTAAACTGAGGTATGAATTTGGTTTTCTGAAATGATACTTAAGGGCACAGCCACAATCCATCACAGAAGAGAAGTACCTTGGCCACGCTGTCAGTGGAACACCGGGGCATAACTTGTTTCCAGGTGGAAATGAATCCAGACGTCAGTTACTGATAGCAGCGAGTGTCCACTCCCGTGTCAGCGCGGGCCCGGCCCTGCCAGGGTGCACGGTGCCTGTGACCGTGGCAGACGTCACCGTCAGAGCGCACACCGGGCCTTCTCACATACACACAGTGTGCTCCCAGTCTTGGTGCCGCTGAGACCAGAGAACAGACAGAAGTCTTAGAGAGGACCTGGAGGTGTGCCCTTCCCCCCAGGCGCCTCCTTCCTGCTGCAGCACAGCACGGGAAGCACACGGGGCGAGTGCCCTGCTATCCAGACCCTCATTTCTGGCCCTGGTACTGAGAATAACCTTACAGGGCTCCGTGTGGATGGGAAATAGTGCATGCCTTGTGGCTACAGAGGGCGTAGTCCCTAGAGATACTCAAAAGGATTGTCCTTGAAATAGTAAATGCCATTAGCAGCAATATTTGTGTCCTTCCCTGTGACTGTGGGCCATTTAATGTCCTAGCCCTTGATGCCCAGGGATAGTGACAACTCCCTCCAGGTGTGGTGTGTTAGGAACCTCAGCCCGCTGGAGAAGGGAAGGCTTCCATGTGCAGCGTTCGTTGTCCTGTTAATGTTGAACTGTTTGCAGTCAGAGTGTGAGTGTTATAACTGAAAGGAATAGGTGGGAAGCGTTTGCAGCTCTTGGTCTAGAATGTACAACAAGGGCTTTTTCTGTTTCCTTGGGGCAGAGCTGCAGCATAGAATAATCTTGTATTTTTAACTTTTCTCTGTAACTCCAACAATCAAAGGGTCATAATTTGTTATAATGATGCTATAATTAAGTTGTGGTAAATGATAGCATTTGTAGATTTTATAACCAGGATTGATTCATAAAATGAATGCAGTCCCAGTAGTTTATGTTAACATAATTAAATGGAAATGTAATTCTAACTCAGTTTGCTTATTAAATTGAAAATTACTAGGTTATGAGCACTCTTACATTTCTGTCAAAATTGGTGTAAGTCTAAAATTACATGAAATATCCATTAAAATAAAGCATATTTAAGGCTCTGTTGCTGATGGCGAATGAATTTGTTGAAGCTCGTGCAGGTCGAGCAGGCGAGGTGGGCGCTTTCTGGAAGGTTCCAGCTGACACCTTCTCTCTTTTTCTCTACAGCCACTGGTTTGGCCCCGGGGCCAGGACAGAGCACGGCCAGGTAAGGGATGGTCCCTTCCAAAGGGAAGTTGCTCTCTCAGATAACCTGTCTGCGTGTCTTCCTTGAGGACTAAGATCCCCAGCGTATTTTAAAAGAAACTCACTGCTCCAGGGCTTCCTACACAGCCCAAACCGTGGCCTCAGTAAGCCACAGCTTTCCCTAGCCACCTTCCCAAGCCACAGCCAGGACCTCCACAGGAAGCCCTTGCAGTGCATGGGCTGGGAGGGCTCTACTACTTACAAATCGTGTTCACAAAATTAAGGTATTAAAGCAGTGTGTATGCTTAAAATTACATTTGTATTTAAACGTAAGGTCAGCCAGCATGAGAATATTTTTATTGACACTTAAAAAGTGTCTTACAAGCTTACATTATGTCTCTCAGTGAATCTTTTGAAATGTCTCCCTGGTATTCATGAATGCACAGTGATTAGCTGACTTTGCAAGAACTTGATATTCATTTCAATTGTCTTCACATATTAAGTAAATAGCATCCGTTCTTTGTTTCTTGAATGTAACAGTTCACTCTGAAGCTAAGGTAATTTAGGGCTTAAATATGTGGTAAATTTTAAAGTATATACATTTTAGGGTTTGAATCCTCCCAAGATTTTTTTTTCCTATTGTGAATTATAAAAGTTCTGTTTCAATAAAGTGATCTATAAGAATGTGTATTTTTAAAATGCATGAGAATGGTAAACACCAAATTCCTGGAGGTCATTTCTTCTGAGGAGTCAGAAGGGAGGTCGGTGGTAAAGTGATGGTTGTACTTGGTAATAGTGGTTAATGACATTAGTGTACTGGTGATATTTGATGTCTGTATCAGAGTAACAGTTTCAGATTGGGTGCAAATGCTCTAGTTCCCTTAACTGATAAAGGGAAGCGTCACATACTTCATTATAACCTATACCAGAGATAGCAAACCTTTTAGAGACTGAGTGCTCAAACTGCTACCCAAAACCCACTTATTTATTCCAGAGTGCCAACACTGTAATTAAACATGAATACTGAGGTTTTAGTTTAGAAAAAATAACTCATACATTAACATCTTTTGTCTTAAAAGAAAAACAAATAATATCCATGCCATAGGTTCACCACCAATCACCTATACTTTTTGCTAAATACATAGGAGCCTATTAGAAGAAAAATACCCTGCAAATTCAAATTTAGTTGTAATAATGGTTTTGTTATCATGCCTTTTCCACTAGAGGAATTTGCCCCTTGAAAGAGACTTCTCACATTTATGTATAATGTTTACTACTACTCTTACAAATTTGGAAACAGCTGTTACATTTATGAGGTGTTTATCTTATTATTCAAAATGCAAAAATTAGACTTTCTGCTTTCCCCAGGGGTTCATTACGGTGTTTACCGTAAGATTCTGCTTATAATAAGTGTACCAAGTTGCATCTGGATATATTCTATTACAAAAATGATTTTTAAAGCTCATTCACCAACCTTTAGAATTTCAGAACTACTAGTATGATGTTACAAATTTATGTTTTCTATTATTGTGTATAATTTAAGCTTTGGCTTCTAGCCAAGCTTTATTGTACAGTTATAAATTGACTAATAGCTTGGGCTGGGGATCTAACTCAATGGTAGAGGTCTAGGTGAGCACGTGGAAAGCCGTAGGTTCAATCTCCAGCACCTTCTGAAGAAAAAAAAAATTAAGTAATAGCTAATAACTTACAAAGAAGGAACCCCAGGCCTCACAATGCAAAGTATGCTTTCTACCACTGGGCTACACTCTCAGCCCCCTTTTTGTTGCTTTTAATTTTATATAATCTTTCTAACTAGTATTTAAACCAGCCTTTCGCTTGCATTTTGGTGCCCATTTCAGACTTTTATCCTAAAGAGACAAGTTATTCATTAATAAATACAGATAGCTTCTTTGCATGGAATAGTTAGTCCCAGAAAGTAGAAGCAGAACTAAAGTACTGAATATTGGGCCAGCGTTGTTAGGGGAAGGACAGGGTTAGGTTCCTTCTAGTCTCTGCTCGTAACACCTTCGCCAAGGAATCAGTGCATGGCCTTGTTTTGTGGATATTTTTGTTTCAAGATGCCCAGCTTACAGGACATTGGCTCGTGAATACTGAGCTCAGGGCACACGGCAGTATAACTCATGCGTGAACAAGGTGAGTTTGCTTTGTGTGGCCCATCACAGCCTTCTGGGCCTGAATCACTAGGCAGAATTTCAACACGATACTTCAGGCCCACTGTAAATAGTTAAGTGACCGACAAAAGCGTAACAGTGCAAGAAGCAGAGCGCTCAGCAGGCCACAAAAAAAACCCACTTGTTTATAGTCTGAGAGCTGAAACAAGACTGTGTCCCTCAGGGACCCCAGCCAGGAGCCTGCTTTTCAGATGACAGATTCAGGAGTACATCCTCAAACAACTGCAGAACCACCGGAAGTATTGGTTTTGGTGTTACAAACCAGTTTTAGCAAGTAGATGAATTCACAAATATGGAATCTGAATAATGAAGACCAGCTGTACCTACATGTATATGTCAGTATGCAGTACTTACCTTTTGGGAGGTAATCATTTCTTAGTTCCACACTAGACCTAACTATCACACAGCAAAGTATTGGCGAAACCTACGTCCCAAGGATGAAATGCAAAACCATGAAGAATTATGAAATCCTTCAATGTGTTGTTGAATGAATGACTCTTATCATGCATGATCCCTTTCTTTTTCTTACAGCAGCTAACCAACTTAAGGTGATGATTTTAACCCTGCTTCTTTGAAAAACTACCCTTCAGTACTTCTCCCCATTTTATGACTCTTCTTTCTGGCTGTTCTTTAGGGCTTACCCCATCTCTGTTAACATCCTGTGTGGAGATCAGGCCTTTTATTACACAGCTATTAGAAACTTATCAGCCAGTAGGTGCTCTCTGTGTTTGCAAAAGAGATATTTGTGAAAACCACTTGGCTTTTCCCGCAAGACAGCTATAGTGTGGGCAAGGAAACAGAAATTAGAGTATGTTGATGAATGTTTGAGAAAAACCATAGAGACAGCGTTATGAAGGCCACAAAAGTGAAATTCCAAAGCCAGTTCAGGAGTAGAAGGAAGCGGGCTGAGGAGACTGCATGACACATTTGTGGAGTGTGTGTGGGGAGGAGTTGTTTAATCCTGACACTTTACGTCCCTGAGCATCTATGGTTTGACGTTTTGACTGAGCTTATGAGTCTCGTAGTGAGTCGTGGTTCATAGTTTGGCTGTTACTTAGCCTCCTTTTTATGCTGAGGACCCTGAAAGGCAAAGTGTGAAGAGACTGCACGTTGTTTTCCAGATGTCTGAGTCATCAGCCGAGAAGGGGCTGCCAGTTGCGATGCTCCTGAGCCTGATGCCTTGTCCAAATAGGGTGGTAAAGAAAGGGGTGCTGCAGAATGAGAGTTCTCTTTGCTTCGTCCCGCCATGGCAGGGACTTGAGACTTGTAATAATCTTGAAAACGATCATCAGTAGCAACGGGAATTCTTAGCTCTCTTTCTGTAACAATAAAAACCATTATCCACCAGGAACCCTTCTCCTGCCTGGTTTAATTCAGCACTTTTTAAAACTGTGTGCCTAGGTTTTACATTTATGGATTTTAACGTAATTCTTATATGAGTCATTTTTTAATATACATCTGCAGGTCACTAATAAGGGAATTGCATCTCCGTTTGGCCTAAGTCCAGCTATCTGAAAGTTGGAAGGTAAGAAGCACTTCGCACCATATTCAGAAATTCTAGTTTTTAATCCAAGATGACATCAATTGAGTCAGAACCCTAAAAGTGACCTCGCTTGTGACACTGATAGGAGTCCCAGAAACAGAACAATTACCAGTAAAAAGAATTTCTCAAAATCTGATGGGCTGCTTTTGCTCATATGAATAAAGATCAAGAATTTTTATTTCTTTTATTGTGAATCCGTAATCGGATTTCATCTTTTTTGGAAATGTGTTGGGAATCTTCCAAATACAAATATGTTTTCAGTGGTTCTAGTAATACCCTGGATTAATGTTTTTCATCGTTGCCCTTTGAAAGAGCTAGCTCATGTATTAACTTGTTAGATTCATGACCCAGAGTCCTGAGTCTGTATTTTTTATCTGCACTTCGTGTTCAAATTGCAAAGATGCATCCAAAACCCAGATTTATAATTTCTTTGATAAACTGAGGTGATTTTGTGCCGGCTTTTTAACGTAGATGCACTGCGTTAAGTAATTCCAGTGTGTGTTGCTTCTTTTATACAAAGTCAATCAAAACTGTTAATCTGAAGGCAAACACACCCTTATGTAAGTCTAACACTGGCGCTGCAGCATCAGAGTGCAGAGAAGATGTCATCTCCTTTATGCTCATTTAGGTCAGTAGTGACAAACCTATGGCACGTGTGCCGCAGCCGGCTGTTTCCTACCTTTGAAGGCCCTGACAGGTTCGCCATCACTGACCTAGGTGGTGACTTCTCTGCTCGTCCGGTTTCACTCCTTACGGCAGCGTTTTGCAGAACTAAGCCATGGACTTATTTTGTATTTCAGGACACTATATTTGAGGTTTGAACTGTTTAAACTGTTTTAACCCAAACTTAGGAAAAGTGTTCAAATACCTGTTTTATCTTAGAATTCGGGAAGTTAATTAACTACCATTAATTTAAGACGGAGGTAGAGATTTCATCATCTTTCTTCTAGCTATCTGTGTCACAAATGTTGGTTTGTATATATGTTCTTAAAGGCAATAGACTTAGAAATGCCAAAGTAATTAATTTTTTTTATTTCCAGAAGCAATTTAATGTTCATGGTACGAAGTGTTTCTAAATGGAAACACTTTCAGATTAAAGGACTTAAGATAAACGTTTGCTATTTTCCATTAGGAGGAATAATAAGATATGGCTCCAGCTACATCTCAGATACCAGATCTCACTCGTGTTTCATGACCTCATTCATTCATTCATTCAACAAACATTTACTGGGCACAAAAGATACCGTAGAAGCAGCGGGGAACCCGGGCGATGCAGGCAAATTGAGTATCTGAAGCAGAGGGCCCGAGAGAAGGGAGAGCATGGTGTGTACCCAGACTAAAAGGACCTGTATGGCTGGGGTCCACCCCTTAGCAAAGAGGTTCAGGGGTGGAGCATAGGGTATTTGGACCTTAGGGATGCAGTCCAGTTATGCAGATCCAGGAAAGCCTTGTGCAGCTTGGGGGTTTATCTCACGAGATAAGATGAATCTTAGCGTACATCGGCTGCAGTGTGCAGAGGGAGCTGGAGGGGGACGTGGCTGGAGGAGGCCGTTTGAGAGGCCAGTACAGGTGAGCCCCGGGGTGACAGCAGTGTGGATGGATGCAAAGAAAGAGATATTCAGGAGAAGTTTGAGATCCACGTACAGTTAAGACCTTCATGAAAGAATGATCTAGCTGTCTTCTTGGTAACCTAAGATCTTTTACTTCTCCAAAATGATGAAATCATTGATTCTAATAATTCAAATAATTGATTCTAAATGACGCCGATGAACAGTTCAAATGAGTCACCCTTCATGAAAATGTATCGATACCGGTCAGACAATACTCATGGACAATCAAGCTCATTAATTGTAACGGTGGTCGTAACCATAGCCACGGTCGTGGCCTTTCAGCCGTACCCTCCGCCTTCCTGTGTCCCTGTGGTAGTGCTGAGCGTTTGACACGGTTTATCTTATTTAATACTCTCGCCAGCCTTCTAGTAGACAGTATTGTTATCTCTGTTTTACAGGTGGAGATGGGGGCCTTAGAAAGGTTAAGTACTCTGGCCTGAGGTTACACAGCTTGAACATGGTAAAGCTGTTATTGAAACCCAGTGGCTCGTGAGTTACTGACCCAGCTGGGATTGGAACCCAGGTCTATCTTGTGTTATTATTTTTAAGAATCCTATTTTGGCTAGGGTTAATTTCTGATATACTGCAGAAATTTTTTTTACCCCAGTCTTGCATGTAATCACATACTGCATGAATAAGATAAGCTGCGGTTACGGTGAGCACATCGTGAAGAGTGTTGACCTTTTTCTCTTTGCAGTTAGGGTAAAGCAAGTGTAAAGAGAAGTCGATGGTAAAGCATTTGGAGGAGCAATCAAATCTATATTTTTTCCTAATTATATATTTCCAAGCCGGTAATTTCTCTGACAGATGTTTTAAGTTTGTCTCCTTACACCAGTAAGCCAATAGGTACAGAGAAAATACTGTTTGCATTTTCACATCAGCACAGGTGACACACCTCAAAAATGTCGCAGTTGAAAGCCATGGGCCGTTGATGAGTCACCGTGAGGCCCAGGAACAGAACTGAGTTCCAGACACGCAGCCCTGGGCTCTGTCACCTGACTGTCCCAGCAGTGTCACCGTCCGGGACGCACCGGACAGCCAGCTTCCACTGACACATTTGGATCAGTGACAGTGGCATCTTGAGCAAATGCTTGAGACCACTAGGAGAAAAAGGCATGCAGAGTGGACAAATTAGCAGTCCTTTGAATGGAAGAGTATTTTTCTCCTTGCAGAATAACATAATGGAAATATATTCATTTCTACAATTTGTCTTAACACTTTGTGTAGCATCAACTTCTGAGAGATAACCGAGCCGAACGAGGACACAAGAAAAACTGTTCGGGGAAAACAGCCAGCAGGTAAGCCCTTCGCCATCGCGTTTATTTCTCCTCATTACATCACGCGCCGCTTGTGCCCGTGCTCCTCTGAGTGCGGTGAGCTGTGGTTTGTGTTCCTTTGGTTCTGAAAAGCCGCCTTCACATGTTTTATTTATTGTTTACCAGAATCTATTTCAGGATTGCTAGTAATGCCATTTTCCGTAATTGTTAGACCTCTCTGAAAAACAAAGAATGCATTTCAAAAGATAGTTTTTGTCTCAGAACTAATATATTTGAGATCTGCCTTTAGAACAGTTATTTACTTTTTCATTTCAAAATGGTGAAATTAGTCATTTTTGCTAAGCTTCAAGGGTGCTTAGACCCTACAGCCGTCTAAGTCTACATCCTGGTAACACACAGGTGAGTGAGGACGGGGGCAGAAGTGGTCCCTTTTAAAAAGTGGGTTTAAGGCCCTCTTAGTCTTATGTTGCTAAATCAATGTCATTTGTCCTCAAGGCAAAGGATTTTGTGGTTTACTGTTTTAGACAATGTATTTCCAAGTTGTGCATGTGACATTGGTGAAGCTTTCGTTTTTCTTTGGGTGAAAGTGGCCGCACATTTGCTATGGCGTGTGTCTCAGTGTCCCCCAAAGCCTGAGGCGTCATAGGTGTACTTTGCAGAGGCGGCTGCCTAGGGTGTGCGCTGCTGGGAGTAGGGGTGTGACGCCGGGATTCAGGGTGCTCCACCCCAGGTGTGAGTGCCGCGCACCCTAAGGGTGCGGAGCCTGGACGGGATATCGGGCAGGGAGAGGGCTGTTGCCCTCGCTCACTCCTTGGTGCCTTCTGTCTGCCATGCCATCTCCTCTGTGATGCCCCTCTGCCATGCCATCCTGCATTGGAGCCAGCCAACCATGGACGTAAATTTTTACAAACTGTGAGCTAAATGAACCTGTGCTCCTTTAACTTTTGGGTGCCGGGTATTTTGTCTCAGCAATGAGAAAAGTAACTAAGACAACATTCATGCCTCATTATTGATCCGAGCTACTGCCTGAGAGTTCCACTGAATTTTTTTTACTCAGATGAGATACTGACCTTGGCAGCCTCCCTGGCATCCGAGCATCTCTCAAGGCACCTGTGCCAGCCACAGAGTTTAGCATTGCCCAGAAGTAGTGTGGCTTCACAGTACAAGGCTGCATGTCCAACCTGGCTGAGATGCCACTAGATGCCTACTGAAGCAAATACAAATCCTGCATACCTAATTTAGAAAATCAAAGCTTGCTAAACATAAAATGAGGTAATTCACCATCCATGAGACTCAACATAAATAACTAATAGATTCGCTTCTAAGAATGTCAGGACCTAAAATTACTATTGATATAGATTCTGATATAACTACAGGTGAAATGTGTAGACAAATAAAACAGGCAAGCAGCAAGTTGCTGTTAAACTTTATTAATTGGAAGTGAAAAAATATATATATATATACACACACATATCTAAGCAATGACAAGTATGATTGGTGAAGAGATAATTAGTGAACTAGAACATACAGTACATAGGAAGAGAGAACCCAGACTATAGTGTGAAATCACTTCTCAGCCTTTTGGCTAAGATCAAGTGCAGAGTGCAGTGCAAAACTGAATGGGATAAAAAAAAATGAAAGAGTGGATATGAGACACACAAAAGAACCAGGAATAAATTTAACCAGAATCCCTTTCAGAAAGAATGGAAGGGCTGAAAAAAACATGGCATTGGCAGATACTGGCTAAGAATTTCCCAAAGTGATGAGAATCATCAGTCCATAGATGACATATGAAATGCACAGGGAATATCAAATATATTATACAAACTAGCAAACTGTATTACAGCAAAGACAAAGAAAAGGTCTTACAAAGAATTCATAGAGGAAAGACAAGTTATCCACAAAGAAATGACATCAAGAATGAGACTAGAAAATAGTGGCATCCTGTCCAGAGTATGGAAAGCAAGTACACTGTCCACCTGGAACTGTGCACCTGGAAAAACATCGTTTATGTACGGAGATAAAATAGAGTCTGTGTAATACTTTCAGAAACTGAGAATGTTTACTACTAGTACAATTTTGCCAAGAGGGTTTCTAAAGATATATTTCAAGAAAACCATATTCCAAGGAAAGTCAGAGATGAAAGAATGGGTACTCAGCCAGTAAATTCATAGAAACTTTATATAAACCATTGCTTATATAAAAAGATAATTATACTCCATGAAGATGATTTTGTATCAATTAAAAAATGAAATAATTCAAATAATAAAATGTAGTTGATAGAACTCTGAAGACTTTAACATAAAGTAGTGGACAGTAATGTCATGTTAGGTTGGCAGTGTTGGGGATTTAAAACTCCAGGCCAAAGTGTTCAAATTACTTAGAATGTCTACTTTGTCAGTAAAATCATGGATACTTAATAATAAAACTACATTGAGTATTCATTGATAAAACTTTAAAAATAATTATTAAGTTGGTAAAAGTGCAATTATACTATTGCTAAACCAGCTGAGGGGCTAAAATGGAATTAAAATATTGCTGCTTTCCTCCCCCAAAATAATAAAACCCATTTTTAAAAGAGAGGGGAAAAAGAAGAATTGAGAAAATGCGGCACAGCAAACACCAGAATTAGGCCGTCAGATCATGTCGATCTATCAGTCATCGCAAGGACCATCTGTGGGTGAAGTTCTTCAGTTAAAAAACAGAATGAGCCCAATTATATTTTTTAAAAAACTCCAGCTCTGGGTTTTTTTTTAATAGGAGACACATCTGAAATTTAACGACAAGGAAAGCAAGAAACCCAAAGGATAGAACAGGATATGCAAGATGTAGTGTAAAGGGAGTTTAGCAAAGTCTGAACAGTCACTATTCATTGATGAAAGATTCAATTTACCTGAAAATTTAGTAACCTTACTATTACTAGTAATACAATAAGCCTCAAAATGTAAAAAGCAAGCATCAATAGGAATACATCCGAAAAACCCACTGACCCAGGGTCATGGTGGTCCCACTGCAAAATAAATCTCAAATTATTGTTAGCCCAACTCAACAGAAAATTTATAAACTAAAAATTTGTATAACACAAAATAAGAGTAAATTAATGAAATTATATAAAATACCACAGCTAAATTATTAGAAAAAGCACTTTTCCTCAAACATACTTGGAACAATTATGAGATTATCAATGTGCCTGGTCATAATACTAGTAGTACCAACAACTTGTAATTTGTCATAAAAAACATACTACCTGACTTGAACATGATTGTTAAAAATCAATAATAAGAATATATGTTTCACAAAGTTTGGAATTAACAGAATATATTGCTAAGAAATTTGTATGTCAAAAGAAGAAAATCATAATATTGAAACGTGTGTTGCAATAAGATGGCAATTGGAAGAAATTTTCCTGCCTTCCATCTTCATGGTAGAAATTTGATTCCAGTTCCTATTGCAGTCAAGATTCTGAGCTACAAGATTACTACCACCCCCTCCCAAGAGAAATGGAGAGACAGAACATAAAGCGGGAGGGGCTCCATGATGTTGTGGTGTCGTCCCGAACTTGTAATGTGGGGTGGCTTTGGCAGGAGGCAGGAGGGGTATCTCTGGAGTGTTATTCTTGGGGTGGGACAGACAAAGGGCACCTGCCCACTCCCCAGAACGCTGGTCCAAGCGTCTTCAGGAGTGAACATGGGTTGGCCACAGCTTTGTTTGTGAGGAGCTCAGAAAGCTTGGTGGAACTAGGTGGCAAATTATAATGTCCTCAGTCCAGCTCCGTCCAAGCAGAGCTGGTGCAACACACATCTTTCTGGGACCCCAGCTGTTGCTTAGAGGGAGGTGTGATGCTCTCTGGTGCCAGGCTTCCTGCTCTAAGGGTCACAGAACAGAATTGCTCAGGGCTAAAACAGACACACACTGGCCTTCCCGCACACCATTACCTGTAGCACACGTGCCCGAGGGAAATGAACTCACAGGCTAAAATAAGACGTTCAAGGAGAGTAGCCTTCTCAAATATATTAGATTACAGATTCTAGCAGAAGCAGAAATACTAGCACAAATGAGTCAACAGCATTAAAATTAGCTTAATAAATACTAACTAAAGATTTACAGGAAGATGGTAACATATAAAGCAAGAAAAACAACAAAAAAAGATAAACTTAGGACTTTAAAACCTGTTCACGAGTAAAAAGGTGAGATTTTAAGTTCAGTTCCCTTAAACTGTTAATGTATTCAATACAATTCTAAATCAAAATCCTAACTATTTTGTAGAAATGGACAAACTTAGACTCTAAGTTTCATATGGAAATGCCCAGGTTTAGAATAATCAGAACACCATTGGAAAAGAAAGTTGGAAAGCTAACATTTCCTTATTTAGACATTACAAAGAGATAGTAATGCAAATAATTTGATATATTTGTGTGACGATAAAAAATGGAGCATTAGAACAGAATATATGAAATACACCTCCCAACACACACACACACACACACACACACACACACACACAGACACACACATGTGGTTTTTACTAAGGTACAAAAGCAATTCAGTGGAGAACATTTGTGGTGCTGGAACAATTAGATAGTCATTTGCAAAAAGAAAAATAAAAACATTTTCAATCCACAACTCAGACCTTGTGACATTTATATGCCAGCTCGCCTGGGCTAAGGGAGACCTAGACAGCCGGTAGAGTGTTATGTCTCAATGCATGTGTGAGAGATCAGCATTTAAATCAGTAGGCTAAGTAAAGACCGCCCTCCCCAGGGGGAGCAGGGATCATCAAGTCTGGTGAGGGCCCAAACAGATGGAAAGGCAGAGCTAGAGCAAATTCTCTCTTCTTAAACTGGAACGCCCATCTCTTATGTCCTCAGACTCTTGTGCTCCTGGATGGCAGGCAGGTCAGCTGGGACTGCCTGATTCCCCTGCCTTCCCTAAGTCTCCAGTTTGCACACTGCAGGCCACGGGACCTCTTCTCCTCAGTAATCACGTGAGCTAGTTCACCTTTGCATTGTTCTGACAGTGTTATACGCTCGATGGAAACTATGCTTCAAATCTTGCTCCGTTTCCAGGAGCTGTGCAATATGATATTTTCTCATGAGACCCGACAGCAGCAGTGAGCACAGCTCCCTGTCAGCGTCAACAACCACGTTCTGCAGTGGTGGTGTCCAGGCTGTGATGTCTAGTAGGTCAGGTGTGTTAAATGCATTTTCAACACAGTGTCTCCCGTGTGCAATAGGTTTATTCGTTCATAATCCCGCTGCGAATTGAGGAACACTTTGTGAGATATGCCCTGGGGGATAACTCAAGTAGATCATAGACTTAAATACAAAACCCAGAATTGTAACTTTCAAGGAAAAAATCTTCGTGTTCTTGGAGTATTAGCGTGGAAAACAGAAAAACAGAACCAGGATCATATATGCAAGTGCATATATGTGCATGCACACACACATCTATATGGTTAGTATATGGTGTGTGAGACGTAAGTGGATAGAGATACATTGTGGAGACCTGGCTTACATTATTAAGGGGGCTGCAAGGCCCCATGACCTGCAGTGAGAGGCGTAGGGCCCAGGAGAGGCCATGAAGCAGACCCAGCAGAGCATCGGATGAGCGGTATATGAGAAAGCCAGCAGCCTCAGGCCGGGAGGTGGCTTTGTAATTCTAGTGTAAACCAGTGTTGAACCCAAGCGGTCAAGCAGGGCTCTTCCTGTATTAGGCCTTTTGTTCCACTGCAAATTGGTAGATTGGACGAGGCCCACTCACAGAGGACAGCAGTCTGCTAATCAAATGGGAGTCTACTCTGGACACACCGTCACAAACACAGCTGTAGCACTCGACTAAACGTCAGGCACCTCCTGACGCAGTCCCGGGGCGCACTGCAGAGTCAGCCAGCAGAGGCACGGCTGGGGCTCGGGCGTGGAGCAAGAGCACTTGTCTGGCATGGAGGAGGCCTTTGATTATGTCCCCAGCACCATGAATGTATAAATAAAATAAACCTTCATGCCTTGGGTTAAAACATATTTGTTAGAATAAACCACAGAAGTCTACGGCCATACCACCCTGAACGTGCCCGATCTCATCTGATCTCGGAAGCTGAGCAGGGTCGGGCCTGGTTAGTACTTGGGTGGGACAATAAACCATGGAAGAACAAATTGAAAAACTGGGCTTTAACAAAATTAAAAACATCTGGCTTTCTAAAGACACTATTAAAGGGCAAATAGGTGCAGCCCAGACTGGGAAAAAATATTTGCAGACCACATGTCAGATGAAAGACTTGTATCAAGAATACATAAAGAGAGCCGGGCATAATGGCACACACCTGTAATCCTAGCACTCAGAAGGCTGAGGCAGGAGGATTGCAGTGAGTTCGAGGCCGGAATCCAGCCTGGAGTACAGAGCAAGACTCTGTCTCAAAAACAACAACAACAAAAAAAACCCCCAGAAACCATAAAACAAAAATAGAATACAGAAAGAACAGTACAGATGAAGAATTCAACCCAGTTAAACAATAAGCAGAAATTCTTCACCAAAGAAGATACATGGCTGGCAAATTTACACATGAAAAGGTGTTCAGAGCACTGTTGCTCATCAGGAAAATGGAAAATGTACCACAGTAAAATAGATGAAAAGGAATCACACAAGACGTAGTGGAAATAGAACTATTTGGGGGAAAGTAAAACAGTACCACTCCCTAGAAAGCCTCTTAGAAGTTTCCTTACATATTCAACAGGGACCTCGTGTCTGACCCATGTGAATCCTTGTGGACACAAGTGTTCCTGGCAGCTTTACTCTAAATAGCAACCAGAAAAACTGGGGTGTCCCAAATGTCCAAGTAAAAGCGTGCGGGTGAGCAGTAGGTGGTGCATTCATACAGTGGAGCATAGCTCATAAGTAAGATGCAGTAAAGAAGGGTGCACATGGCAGGATACCAACTAGTGCATAGTGACCAAAAGCAGCTCAGTCCTTGACCGCCCAGGACGGTGCCAGGGAGCACAGGAGGAAAGGGTAACACGGGTGTGGCAAGCTTTGGGCGATAGACATTGTTATTGTCGATTATGGTGATGGTTTTCCTTGTATGGACATCAAAGCTTATCCAATGGTATGCTTTAAATGTGTACAGTTCATGACACGTCTGTGGCAACAGTGAGCTGTTAAAGCTGTCACAATCAAACAGACAGATTCCTCAGTCCAGCTCTGCTTTGCTCGAAGTCCTGCTCCCAAGCCCAGTCCCACCTCAGGACGTCTTCCCCTGCTGCCCTCTGCCTGGCGCTCTGAAAGTCCGTCCAGATTGCTCCCCGGGCCCTTCCAGACTCCGCTCAGTGTAAGACACATGCTCTGAAGAAACGAAACCTCTGCATTGTTGGTGGGAATGCAAACTGCTAGAGCACCGTGGAAGTCCATGTAGTTGCCTCAGAAACTAGCGGTAGAGCTACCACTTGACCTGGCAGTACCACTCCTCAGTGTATTCCTGAAGAGTGGAAGACAGCGTGTGGGGATACATGCACAGCCCTGTGTACTGTGCCACAGTCCCTGTAGCCAAGCTGTGGAAACAGGCTGGGTGCCCCAGCAGGTGAACCGTAAGATAGTGTGGTCCATGTCCACAGTGGAGAATTACTGAGCCACGGAGAAGGATGCCATCGTGGCATTTGCAGAAAAGCGGATGGAACTGGAGACCATCGCATTAAGTGAAATCAGAAAGAAATACACAGCCTGTAACTTAGAGACCTCTCTTCCCAGCCCTGTAATCCCTATGGGTTATTTCCATGGTGACGTCCCCAGGGGCCTGCATCCTCATGCCTCTTCAGAACCGTCTGCTCTTAGGCCTGCCGCACTGTCCTGGGGTCTCTCTTCACTGGAACCCTAACGTGTCTTCCCCTCACCCCGGGTGGGATTCCTCCCTGCGTCCTGTGGCATGGTTTTTCTTCGGCTTCCTGAAAAAGCAGTAGTCATTAAACCTCTTGGGTTTCTGTGCATGTGAAAATGTTTTTGTTCTTGTCTCACGGTGGTTTAGCTGTGAATCAAATTCTGGCTTGGAAATCACTTTGCCTTGGGGTTTTAGAATCTTCGCTCCAAGGCCTTTTGATTTTCAGTAGTTTTCCCTTGGTTTTTTGTATACTGGAGCACCCTTAAGTCACATATATGTAATGTATGTGATATACATATATATGTAATTTTCTTGGGAGATACCTAGACAATTATCTCAATATTACGTACCAAATCTTTAATGATAGAAACTCTTTTTCACAACCTTTTCTCGTTCTGTTGAACATCCCTGTCGTATACGCTCTGCATTTGATTAGTGAATCCTGTCTTTTTTCCTCTCTCCAAAACCATCAGCTGTGTTGGACACGGGGCAACCTGAAAAGGTGAAATAAGCATAAGCGGAGAAAGACTTCCTCAGATTTAATTTTTACATTATTAAATGCAAAATGAAGATTCCTCACCTTTCTTTTCTGTGTTTTCCTGGATTCCTGTCTTGAAATCCATTTTCTTTATGTCTTTTTAATGCTGTCGTGACTTTTCTTAACCCTTTTGGATGAGTGACTTCACTTTCCTTTTTCCACTTGTGGAAAAACATAAAAGGTTAGAGAAGCATAGTGCATTAAATCAGTAAACTGTGAGATCGTTTGCTCTCCACATATATGAAGAAAGGAAGGAAAGATGCATGCAGGGTGGCTGGCTGTTAGTGACGCAAAGCCGGGGTTTGGGAGCGCGTGAGTCCTCTCCCGGAGCAGGCACTGCTTCAGACGCTCCTAGTGAAGAAAGGGCCATGCGGTTCGGACATCACCCATGGACTGTGGCACACCTCGCCCTCTGCCCCCCAGGAGGTCTCAGGGTCTCCTGCACAGGACTTTAGGGCTGCACTTACCAACGCCACTAAGGACGGTGCGTTTTGGTGGGGGTTTTCTGGGTCCTCGGTTTATGCCCTTTCTCCCTTTCTGCCACATCTACTTCCACATTCCCCCCGGCTCTTTAAACCAATGACGAGAGTGGAGAAATTGTCTCTGCTCCAACTCTGACCATTCTGACTTTCACCGTCGTCTTGAAACACCCCCCACTTTATTAATTTCAATCAGTGGTATCAGGAAGCTCTGCCTCATCAGCCGTGGACTCTGCTCACGTGGACCTGTGCTCCCGCCTGTCCTTACAAGGTCAGGTCCTCAGGGCTTCTTATCTGCTTCCCCTCTCCCCACTTCTGCGGCCCTGGTGCATGACCAGTGGCAGCGCTGGCTGTGAGGCGCCATCGCACCATCCCCACCCTGTCCAGTAGTTACTGAGGAGGTAGCAGTGCCCTGCGGCAGCTCGAGTGCCTACCGTAAACAACTTTCATAGGTGCTGCCTCCTGGTGCTCTACTGAAACTTTTGGGAGAGAAACGCTGATTCTCTTTTAATTCATTGCTTTGATTCATTGCTTTGATTTCATGAGGGCCCCTTATCCTTATCCCTCCTTATCATAGAACGTTGTTTCAGATAGTGACTTATCTGAAAAGTTTTCATCACATCATTGTCCTCACGTATTTATCAGATGCGCTGCCCAGGACTTATTAGGATGGTACTTTTAGTTACACATTTTCTGTCTTATGTTCTTCAGTTCCTGGTACCTTGTTGATTATTCGTTCCCACCTGAAACTTTGTATAATTCAAATGATAGAACCTTAGTGTGTGTGTGTGTGTGTGTGTGTGAGAGAGAGAGAGAGAGAGAGAGAGAGAGAAAGAAAAAGAGAGGGAGGGAGGATCTCATTACATTGCCCAGGCGGGCCTTGAACTCCTTACTCAAGAAATCCTGCCACAGCCTTCCTAGTAGTTGAGACTGCAGGTATGCGTCACAGTGCCTGGCTTCCCTTAGTTTTATTTTGTAGTCATTCTTCCATTTGTCTGGTGTTCGGTGCCCATTTTCCTACTGTGAAGTTTCGTCTTAGTTTTTGCACTCTAATATTTCATGAGTGTCGCAGAATTTTGTTCATGTCACCCAGTTATTTTTACTTACCATAAAATCTTAAAGATATAAATACAAACTCCGGAGGGCACAGAAGTCTTTCAATAAGTAAATGCATGAAAGCATATTTAATTGTTTTTCAAACAAGCTAGCTCTCGCCTGTCACTTTCAGAATGGAATAATTCAGCAGCCGTGAACTTTGCTTGCTGAATGCAATGGACTTGCTGGAGTGCCAGCACGTGAGCTCGCTCTCAGGGCAGCTCGCCGAGGTGTTTTTCCACAGGATCACTAGTGGCGCCCAGTATTTTTCCAGGGTGCATTGTTTTAAGTTCCAGATCTGTGAGGCAGCCCCCTGAGCACCGGCTACCAACTTAGCAGGGCCCAGTGAGGCAGGACGCGCTCACTTGCAACAAGTTGTAAGAAGCCAGTGTCTTCTTTCCACACAGCAGCAAGAGGTGAAAGAAGGCTAGAGCCCCTTTGTGGCTGGGCCCCCTGGCTCGGCCAGCGGCCCGGAGGGGATGGGCTTTGCGCCACTGCCCAGGGCCGCAAGAGGCACCCAGCTGAAGCACCAACGGGTGAACTGCTCAAAGGCAGATGGGAGCGCACGTGCTCCTGCTAGTGCTTCCCTGTCAGGGCACTGCATTCCTGGCACACTCTGCGGTTGTTTTGAGAGCTACAAGTGAGAAAGAGGGGAGAACTGGGTTGGTCCAGAGCACCTGGAAAAATGTCCAGCGATCTCCAATGTTTTTTTAAATTTTGTATTAAATCTGATGTTCCTGTTTCTCAGATTCTTTGTGCCATCACGTCAGTGAGAGCTACATTTAAATCATCATGCACTGTTTCTCAAGTCAGAAGCCTTTGGTGCGCACCAAAACAGTCCGCTAGCCTTCCCGAATGCAAAGTCAGGTCAGTGGGTGCCTTAAGCCAGGGGTGGCGAACCTGTGGCACACAGAGCCCACTCGGACAGCGCTTGAGCCGTCATCCCAGCAGCCCAGCCTCCGGCAGCAGCTTTTTCTAAACTAAAACCTCAGTACTCAGTTTTAACTGCAGCGTTGGAACTTTGCGATAAGTGGGTTTGGGTTTGTGGTTTGGACACTGTCTCTAAATGGTCCGCTTGCACTGCCTTAGACAGTTCCAAAAACCATCGCGTGTGTCGTTCTTGAAGACTCTCATTCTCAAGATGATTTTATACGTGTGATTCTTTATTACATAGGAATCCATGCACCAAGCTTAGAGCATGGCAGCAGCTCCCTTTAATTATTCGGAACCTGTGAAGGTCTTTAGGTATCGTTTAGGCTGTGTGTGGGTTAGCACTCTTCCTCTTTCCTTGCTGGGTGTGAGTTTTGTCATTTGCTCTTCTGGAGCACATAGGCAAGATCAACTGATAATCTATGTGTAATCTGAAGCTAGGTAAAAACATTGTCATTGCTGATATTAAGTTCTATTTAATTTTTATAATATATTTTTGAAATGCGTTTGTTAACTCATTTGTTTAGTTCCTAAAAACATATTTTTCATCTCCTTGGTCGGTGTCAAATGGTTTGATAATCCTTGTGTATTATCCTCCAGTTTATGTTATCTCTTAACAGTAGGAATGAAGAAATAAACATTTTTATCATCATCTTACCTGACCAGTAGTCAAAAACAAAACAAAAACCTTTTCTGCAAAGCATGGTGCACATCTATAATCCCAGCTCTTGGGAGGTTGAGGCAGGAAGATCTTGAATTCAAGGTCAGCCTGGCCTATGAAGTGAGTTCAAGACAGCCTGAACTAGATAGCAAGACCCTATCTCAAAAATAAAACAAAACAAAAAACACCCAACCTCCTAAAATGAACAAAAAGACAATAGATTTAATATGAGAAACAGCAAATCCGATTACATTCTCATACACACTCGTGCCATCCTGCCCTCCAGTGAAAGAGGGAGTTTCTGTTGACAGTGATACAGGGCGCATTCATTTCCATATGATGATACAGATTGCTGTATTTTGTTGCAAATGTAACAGACAGAACTGCAGCTGCTCTTTATTTGATCTTCTAAAGATCTAAAGATGTTCAAGGCTTCTGTTTGCTCATTGTTTTCCCGAACTGCCATTTGTTATTTAGGAAGGAGACCTCATTTGCAACAGATACACAACTATTTGTCATTTTGCAGGTTTGCCAAAAATAAATGAAACTATTAATTACTACATTTTTGAGCAGCTGTTAATAAATTGGAGTAGAATAACTGTTCATTAGTGTACAGTACAGCATAATGACATGCACTAGGTTTGTCTAATGTGGCTTTTCACAGAAATGTGCTGACAAAATTGATATATCAAGCAAAGGAAATAATGCTATCTTTTAATTGGTTAAGAGGAAATGGTACCTATACTGGCAATAAGTTTAAGATTTTAAACCCCTTTTTGTCATATGAAAACTATAATAATTTAACACCGTATTCGAACATAAGTTATCACTTGCCATTTTATATTTTGTGTGTCCAAAATAATGACTTGAAACTGCTTTGAAGTATTAACTTTAAAATGTTCTAGGACTTGATAGTGTTTTCTTTTCAAAGTCAAAATTAGCATTAGATTTCATTGCTGTAAATAAGTTCGCCTAGGCTTTCAGATAGAAAAGAAATTTTAAATTATTTTGATTCATTCTTGTATGTGTATGAATGAACTAATAGAAAATACTCACATATTCCTTTTAATTAGAATGTATGCATTCCATATTTGTTTAATTGGAATACTTTTAATTATTTATGTATTCTAATTAAAAAGAACATTTGAATAATGTCTAGGTGTAGAGATACTTAGAGTAAGAGCAGAGTAATTGGAATTGTTCCACATACACAACATAAAATGGGTTTTAAGGGGTTTAATTGGTCCATTTTACACTATACGACCAAATTATTGTATTTCATAAAACCACACTGTCCTCAGATTGCCAGTTCTCAGCCGTCCTGTCCCTTTGGCATCTGAAAGTCTAACCTTTCTTGCCAAGATTTTAAATTAATGATTATTTTTAGATGGTGATTTTGCTAACTGAAATTAGTTTCCAGCCAGTTAGAATTTTGAGAGGTGGCCCTTCCCTTGGATATGATGAACCCATCCAGGGAAAAAAGAATTTGCCATTTGGAAATATGTAATAGGCCCAGTTTGTGATAGATAAAAGTGGAGGCGGGGGAATCAACATGAAACCCTAATTATTTGTCTCCTTTGTGTCTGTCGGAGGAGCTGGGTGTTTTCACATGGTCAGAAGTATGCACAGCCTCCCCCAGCCTCAGGACTGTGCTTGAATCTGTCATGGTCACTAATAGCAGAACGTAGTTAGCACGTGTAGGCTGTTGGAGTGACCCTTAGCGAAAATAAATTTGTGATCTGAAGTCATTTTCCTAGGGACAGGTGTCGGTGGCACAGTTGGCACTCTCCAAATTGGCCCCGTGATTAAACAGGCGTGGGACAGAGCTGACCTTTAACTCCCAGAGATGGCTCCCCAGGAAACGAGGAAGGTGCACCTGCAGGGCCGCATCGCAACAGCTGTGTTGCCGCTGTGGCCTGCATTACTACGTCATTACAGGGACACTCGGGGCTCTGAGTGCACACGGTGTGCGTCAGGGCCAGCAGACTTCCCCAAC